GACGAAGAATAAGTATACCCATAATAAGAACTTTGCTGATAATAACGGTGATCATGCTAATAATACTGCTAATAGTAGTCATACTACTAATGATAACAATAATGCTATTAATAAGTATGGTTATCGTAGTAACAATAATGATGGTAATACTACTAATGCTAGTGGTAATAATACGAATAATAATGATAGTAATAATAATAATAATCATAATAATCATAATGATAGTAGTAGTAGTAGTAGTAGTAGTAGTAGTAATAATAATAACAGTAATAATAATAATAACAATAATAATAATAATTTAGAGCTAGGACGGGAGGGCCCAGATGGGGCCGCTATCGGCAGGTCAGAGGGGGAATATGGATAGGAGTGGGAGTAGGAGTCGAGTTAGTCAGCTCGAGCGAGACATGCATGGCATGCCCATGCCCACCCGCCCTCCCACAACATAAGAGACAGTGCTGGCACAACCGGGAGCCGAGACCAAATCTTTGGCACAACTGATACGGCCGCGACAACGGTTACCGACGGGTGCTCCCCAGCTCGTCCCAAAGACTGCGCGGGCATTTGAGCACGATTCGAGAATGCCCCACGAAGCCCCAGGATGTTTCAGGACACCCCAGGGATCCCCAGGAGGCCCGAGGAGTCCCCTGAAGGCCCCAGCGAGTCCTTCCCCAAGAAGCCCCAGGAAGGCCCAGGCGACGCCAAACCCCCTCCAGGAAACCCCAGGAGGTCCAGGAAACCCCAGGAAACCCCAGAAAACTTGGCTGGCAAGACGCCTCGCACGCGCAGATCGGCTTGCTGGTATGGCAGAATTCTTGCGGCCACGATTGCGGTGGCCGATGGGAACTGGCCCGACGCGTCTCAAATGTCGCGCCAGCGCGCGGGCACCTCGGTGCAGGTCGGTGATTCGGGCGGGCGCGATGGCATGATGACGTCTACCACGGTGGCGACATGATGAGGAGGGCAACGACCCGCGATGATGGCGACAACGACGGCAAGGCCAGCGACGGTGCCGATGATGGCGACGACGCTGGAAGGATTTGGACATGCGCTCGCGGCGACGCGCGCGCATGTCGCCCGCGTTGTACGTTTTGCACAGGATTCGCGCCCTGGGTGCATGACAGAGCATCGCGAGTGCACCGCGCGGCGTGATGAGATCGCTGGCTCTGTTTGGCGAGATCATGGAACTCGCAGGGTTCTTATGGTTTCAGCAACTGCGCGCGGGCAGGGATTCTGAAGATTTGTGATGGAAAAGGCATACATAAGGCTTTTGGTGTTTATTGAATCGCTGACAAACACAGCGTGTTTGGTAGGATTGTGGCATGAACGCGCGCGTGTCGGCATTTTTTGGCAAGAGATGATCGACGTGGACGACAGGACGTCCATGTTGAGGGGCGAAATGACGAAACATGTTGATTTGTTGTTGCTTTACGCAGGTTCGGACGGGACGTCCCAGACGGGGCGGCTATCGGCTGGGGAGGGGGGGTAGGAGTATATTCGAACCAGGAATAAGGATTTGAAGAGACGGACGAGGAGGAGGAGGAGGAGGCGGAGGTGGAAGAAGAGGAAGAGGAAGAGGAAGATGAACAGAAATAGGAAGAGGAAAGTTAATAGCAATAATAATGATAATAATGACAATATTGATAATATTAATCATATACTTATATTTATAATTACCATATTAAAAGTAGTAATAATAGTATCGATGATATTAATAATCAGCATCATAATTACAATCACAATCGTAATCATAAACATGATAAGTTTATCAATATTCAGAATAGGAATACGAATAATAATGGTAATCATAAACATACCAAGAATATTAATAATACGAAAAATAAGTATACCCATAATTACAACATTGCTAATAATAACAATGATAATGTTAATAATGCTGATAATATTAGTCATAATACGAATGATAACAATAATATTATTAATAATTATAATAGTAATAGTAACAATAAGATAATAATACTACTAATGCTAGTGGTAATGATACGAGTAATAATAGTAATACTAATAATACTCATAGTAATAATAATACTGATAATAATAATAATCATAATAATAATTATAAGAATAGTAGTAGTAGTAGTAGTAGTAGTAGTAGTAGTAGTAGTAGTAGTAGTAGTAGTAGTAGTAGTAGTAGTAGTAGTACTAGTAGTAGTAGTACTCGTCGTAGTGGTAGTAGTAGTAGTAGTAGTAACAGTAGTATATTAGTAGTAGTAGTAGTAGTAGTAGTAGTAGTAGAACCAGTAGTAGTAGTAGTAGTAGCAGCAGCAGTAGTAGTAGTAGTAGTAGTAGTAGTATCAGTAGTAGTAGTAGTAGTAGTAGTAGTAGTATTATTAGTAGGAAGTAGTATCTTAGTAACTACTACTACTACTACTACTACTACTACTAATAGTAAATAAAATAATAACAATAATACTAATACTAATATTATAGTTAAGTAATAATCTTGGTGATAAAATAAAAGGACATAAAAACAATGTACTCATACTTTACGAGGGGAGGGGGAGAGGGGAGGAGGAGGAAAGAGGAGGAGGAGGAGGAGAGGAGGAGGAGCCGAGGAGAGCAGGAGGAGGGCAGAACGAGGAGCAGGAAAGGATAGGAGCAGGAGCAGGAACACGAGGAGCAGGAGGAGCAGGAGGAGAAGGAGGAGCAGGAGGAGCAGGAGGAACAAAAGTAGCAGGAGGAGCAGGAGCAGCAGGAGGAGCAGGAGGAGCAGGAGGAACAGAAGGAACAGGAGGAACAGACGGAACAGGAGGAGCAGGAGGAGGAGGAGGAGGAGGAAGCGAGGGATGCCAGGGAACCGAGGCAAGAAATGGAGGCGGCCTGGGGCGCTGGGCGTTCGCGCTAGCATGCCAGCGACTATCGTGCCAATCGCCGAGAAGCTCCCAGGCATGCCCAGTCTATAGGCCCCGGCCAGCAGACCCCCAGGACGGCCCAAGAGGGACCCCAGACGGCCCCAAGACGCGCCAATAGGGCTCCCGGAGGGGCTCGAGATGGCCCATGAGGGCGCCAAAACAGCCCAACTGGGCCCCCAGACCGCCCCAGAACAGCCCCAAGAGGCCCCCTGGAAGTGGCCGCTGTCTCAGACGAGTGGCCACCCCCGAGCGACTGCCCCCTTTGAGGGGCGATGGAGATGGCTTCTCGTCCCCGATCATTGTGTCAGGGCGGCGGGAGAGCCGCGCGCGCAGGGTGGAGGAGAAGGAGGAGGAGGAGGAGGAGGAGGAGAAGGAGGAAGAGGAGGAGGAGGAGGAGGAGGAGGAGGAGGAGGAGCGAGGCAAAGGCAGCAGTAGCTACCGAGGGCGGGGAGAGCGACAGCGAAAACACCCGCTGACCCTACTGGAACTCGGCCAGTGTCGACCCCCTTCCCTAGAGAGGCGCGCCAGCACACCACCATTCGGCCACGTGCAGAGGGGGGAAGGCTTCTGAGAAGCACCCCTGCTTCTGAGAAGGCGCGGCACTTGTCTAAAGATGTAGGGCCGGCGCCTTTTAAGAAGCAGCCTCCTTCTAAAAAGCTTCCCACCTCCCCCTACCCCTTTGTGCGCGCGCGGCTCATCCCCCCAAACCAGTGTCCAGGTGGAGCCAGCCACGTGCAGAAGGGGGTATGGGCGGGGGGAAGGCGTCTGAAAAGCATCTTCCTTAGAAGGCGCGAGCCTTAACTGTAGCTGAAGAGCCAGTGCCGACTAAGAAGCGGCCTCCGTCTAAAGAGCCTTCCCCACTCCCCCTAATCTACCCGCTGGTGCTCGCCGCCAGGGGAGGGGGGGCCCGCGAGGGGCAAGGGACATGACGGGACCCGAGGGGGAACCCTGGGCGCCCGCCGCCCTCGTGCATCGAGGGCGGCCGCGGACCAGCCTGGCCCCGCCGCGCCCAGGCGCTACGCCGGGGAGGGCCTCAGCGCCCCCCGGTGGCGGGATTCCTGCTCGGGCGGGCGTCACAACTCCTTAGCTTCTCGCGCCTTCTCGCTTTGCACCACATGCTTAAACTCGCACCGTACGTGCCCGCACGTCGTTGCACTCTGCCCACGCCCGCCCGTCGCTGCCCGCAGCTTCCCCCGCCTCCGCACGCCACCGCCTGCTCCGCTTTCCGCGCCGCCAGCCACTCGCTCGCCACTCCTCCTCCGATCCTGGCGGACGCGCTCGATGGAAAGGGCGCGCCGAGGTTCCCTCCTCCCTCCCTCCCCTCACCCCCATTCCTGCCCCGCTCTCGTTGAGCTCTCTCTCCCTAGCGCCGCCCCTGCCTTGTCCGCCCCTCCCTCCCCGCACTCATGGCTCCCCCCGCCGCGGCGGCATGGGCACCGAGGGCCGTGGCGCTTCCCTGGGCGACCCCGCGGGGGCGTGCTGAGCAAGGGCGCTTCGCGCCTGGCGGTCTGAGCCGCTGCCCTGTCCTCCTCCAGTCGAGGAGGCGCAGACATGGATCCAAGGGCGCGTGGATGAGCGACGGGTCCTGTTTCCTTGCAGTCGGCCCAGATTAGTAGGTCGACCCTGCCAACTCAAGGGTACACTTGTGCCCTGTGTCTCGCGACCCATGCTTCCTACACTCCTGTGGCAACGTGGCCCTCGGGAGGGTCTTGTGTCCTCTCGCGTGTTCTGTCCAATCGAGCCCGACTGTACAGCATTGGCGCCCTCAGTCACCAGTCCTGGCGGCCTCCCCCGATCCATGGATGTGGCGCCCACGCGCCAGATCCACGGATCCGTAATCCATATCATCGCGCGCCTGATCCAGGGGTGCCGGCGCGAGGGCGCGAAGAGGACCGCGCTTCGCGCGGCGGGAAGGAGTGTGAAGGCCCTGCTTGACTCGTAGAGCTCCCCTGAGTGTGAAGCAACTGCAGCCAAATGTGGCTCGTAGAGCTTCTCTTAGCCTCGTGCAGCTGAAGCCAAGACTGACTCGCAGAGCTTTCCCGTGAGTGCGAAGCCGAACCGAAGCAACGGGCCGTGGGCAATACGGGCGCACTGCTGGGCGACGGTTAGCTCCCCCCCGAGCCCCGGCAGGACGCCGCCGCACGCCGCGAAGGCGGGAGGCACGGAGGCCGCGGCGCTCCTCTGGAGGTGGCGCTCGTTCGCCGCCCTGCTGGCGACCGCCTCGCTGGCCGCGATCGTCGGGGCCGCGTCCTGGGGCCACCAGCGCCGGCTGCCGAGGCCCGCTCCGGGCGTCCTGAGGTTTCGCGCCGTCTTCGGGCTCTGAGTTTTCGCGGGGAGGGCAAACACCAGTGCTCGAGTAGGAGATCGGCAGCAGAACTGATTTGCTCCAGAATTGATTTCAGTAGAGTCTACGAAACATGCGTAAACCGCTTGTACTGGGAAGCTTGAATCAATGGAGTGGGCCGGCCTGGGCCAGGTCAGGTCTGAAATCAACATTGAAAATCTCCATTGATTTCGTCGCTGCCCTGTGCGAAACCTCATTTTAGATAGAGTTTGCGATTTTGTTTTTGGCCTTCATCGATTTCGAGATTCGCCCTTACCATCGTTTTCTGCTCTTGCCTTGATTGTTTTCAACTTCGTTTGTGCACGTCTCCATATGTCATCGTTGTACAATGTTTTTTTGGGCGGCCTTCGTGGCGGCATCTTTTGTCTGGTTTTTTCTGTTTTGATTCTTGGGCGTGCGCCGCACCGCCGACCCCTTGGGGGGCTCCTGGTTGGTCTCTCGGGGTCCTCCTGGCAGCACTTTGAGGTATTTTGGGGGCCGTTTTGGTGCCTCTTTGGGTCTCTTTTGGGCCTCTCGTGGGCCTCTTTGAGCTTCTTGGGGCCTTCTTGGGGGCCTCTTGGGGCCCTTTTGGGCCGTCTTGGGGCCCTCTTGGGCCGTCTTGGAGCCTTTTTGGGGGCTTCCTGGGCCGTCTTGGGGCGATCTTGGAGGCCTCTTGGGCCGTCTTGGACGTTGTGAAAGCCTAAGCGGCGAATGTGATAAAATCATACGTTTCCTTGAAGGCATGGGACGATTTTTGCTTCTGGGAGCCCTCTTGGGGGCCTCTTGGGGCGTTTCGGGGGCCTCTTGGACCGTCTGGGGGCCATCTTGGGCGTCTTGGAACGATCCATCGGCGACTAGGGGCCCTCTTGGACCATCTTGTCGGCCTCTTGGAGCCCTCATGGCCCGTCGTGAGGCCCGTGGCGCGTTCAGCCGGGGCCGGCCGGACCCTCCCCCCTCCAAACCGACCAGACCGGGCTTCGGGGGAGGGGCTTGGGAGGGGAAGCATCTCGCGCGCCGATGACCCCAAGTGGTCGGCGGATAACTTCTGAAGCGAGACATTTGAATTTAGTTTCCCGCTCCGTGGGGCGCTGCTGCATCCCCCAGTAACGACATTTTGATTATTCCCCTGGCCTGGAATTTGTCATTCGGTTTCGCGCCCAGCGGCTGAGGCAATTGCGATGCAAAATAACCCAAGGTGATGGATTTGAATATTTTTACACGCTTTCTTCAACCGCTACGAGTTTCCGAGCGTGCAAGGCTCGTCTTAGGGGGGAATGGGGAGCCCGGGGGAAGAGGACGGGCGAGATGGGTGCATTGATGAGGTGCGTGTGTATGCGTGCGTGAGAAAGCCAAGCGCGGGGGGCACAGCGCACAATGGTTCCTGTATTGTCCACGATAGGACAGTCGCCACGTTGGCTTGGGAACTGAAGTGAAGCCTTAGCGGTTACCGAGTGGATGCAGCGTGGAACGCTCCGACGCGCGCGCGGTAGTTTTCTGTATTGCCCGCCATAGAACAGTCGCCATTTTGGCTTGGGAACTAAAGAGAACCCCGAGCGTTGACTGGCGTTTTTTTACATGTTCGCATTCTGGTGCAGCACGCAACGCTCCGACGCGCGCGCGCGCTCGCTGTCGCGAGTGGTGGCTTCTGTCTTGTGCGAAATAGGACAGTAGCCATGTTGGACTGAGAACTAACGTGGACACGTAGCGGCGATAGATGGGATTCCCAACTTAATTGGGTTTCTGACTGTTGCAAAAATATATACGTACATGTCCGTCTAGTGGCGAAGCGCGCATCGCTCGGACGCGCGCGCGCTGTCGCGCGCGATGACTTTCTGATTGTCCACGATGAGAGATCCGCTATGTTTGCTTGAAAACAAAGTGGCTCCTTAGCGGAGACAGGTTTGTTTTCCAATTGAACTTGCGGTGTTTCACATGTCCGTCTATTCATGCAGCGCGCAGCGCGCTCGCTGTCGCGCGCGGTGATTCTTGCATTGTTCACGATCTGACAGTCGCCACGTTGGCCTGGGAACTAAGGGGAGACCCTAAGCGGCGACCGATGCGACTTCCCATTTAAACTGCGGTTGTTTCCCATGTATGTCTGTCGATGCACCGCGCAACGCTCTGACGCGCGCGCGCTCGCTGACGCGCGTGGGTGGTGGCTTTCTGTGTCGTCCGCAATCGCAATAGGACAGTCGCGTTGCTTGCCTGGGATCGCTGTGGGACCCTTAGCGGCGACCGATTGGATTTCCAGCTTACCTTGCGATTTTTTACATGTCCGTCAATTGACGCAGCGCGCATCGCTCCGACACGCGCGCGGTGTTTTCTGTATTGTCCGCAATGTCCCAGTCGCCACGTTGGCCTGGAAACTAAAGGGGGCCCGTAGCTGTGACCGATGGATTAGTCATCTTAATTTGCGCTTTTTACATGTCCGTCGATCGATGCCGCGCGCGGCGCTTGCGCGCGCGGCGTTCTCTTTATCCCCCCGCAATCGGACAATCGCCGCGTTGGCATGGGAACTACAGAGAACCCTCATCTGCGACCGATGCGATTTCCAACTTAACTTGCGGTTCTTTTGTACGTCCGTCTAGTGGTCCAGCGTGCAACGCTCCGACGCGCGCGCGCGTGCGCGCGCTCTCGCTGTCGCGCGTTGTGGTTTCTGTATTGTCAGCAGTAGGACAGTCGCCGCGTTGGCCTGGGAATTAATGTGAAGCCTTAGCCGTCGCCGATTGGATTCCCAACCTAGCTTGTGGTCTTTCAATGTCCGTGCGCTGGCGCAGCGCACAGCGCTCCGACGCTTGTGGTAGTTTCAATCTTGTCGCAATAGGACAGTCGCCATGTTGGTCTGGGAATTGAGTCAACTCAAGGCGGCGGCGACCATTTGGATTTTCAATTTAACCTGCAGTTTGTTCACATGGCCGTTCATGGATTCAGCGCGTAACGCGCCGACGCGAGCGCGCTCGCTGTCGCGCGCGGTGGTGTCTTTATTGTTCGCAATAGGGCAGTCGCCATGTTGGCCGGGGAACTGCAGTGGGCCCTCAGCGGTCACCGATTGATTTTCAAATGAACTTGCGGTTTTTACATGTGCGTCTATTGGTGCAGCGTGCGTCGCTCCGGCGCGCCTGCGGCGGTTACTGCGTCGTCCGCAATGGGGCAGTCGCCGCATTGGCCTGGGGATTGTAGTGGGCCTGTAGCGGTGACCGATGGGGTGTCCAGTGTAATTGCGTTTTGTTTTTTCTTGTTTATATATATATATACACGTATGTGTGTGTATCTATAACAACATGTCCGTCTTGTGGTGCAGCGCACAACGCTCCGGCGCGCTCGCGTGCGCACGCTGTTGCGCGCGGTGGTTTCTGCGTTGTCCGCAATGGGGCAGTCGCCGCGCTGTCCTGGGAGCTAGAAGCAAAACCTCAACGGTGACCGACTGGATTTCCTGCTTGCGTTATTCTAATGTCCATCTACTGATGCAGTGCGCCACGCGCCGACGCGCGCGGCTGCTTCCTGCTGCGCGATCGGACAGTCGCCAAGTTGGCCCGGCAACTAAAGGGAACCTCCGCGGTGACAGGTGGCATTTCCAAGCGTTTTTTTTTGCGCGTCCGTCTTGTCGCGCGCTGTGGCTGTGGCTTCTGAAGCGCCAGCAATAGAACAGTCGCCATGTTGGCGTGGGAACTAAAAGTGGACCTTTAGCTGTGACCAGTTGTTTGGATTTCCAATTTAACATGCGGGTTTTACATGTCCGTCCATTGACGCAGCGCGCAAGGCGCCGACGCGCGTGGTTGTTTCTATGTTGTCCGGAACAGGACAGTCGCCACGTTGGCCTGGGAACAAAAGGAAACCTTTAGCGCCGACCACTTGGATTTCCAACTTAACCTGCGGTTGTTACATGTCCATCTATGGATGCGGCGCGCGCGCAACGCGCCGACGCCCGCGCGCGCACGCTGTCGCGCGCGGTGGCTTCTGCATTGTCGGCAATAGGGCAGTCGCCATGTTGGCTTGGGGACTAACGGGAACCCTTAGCGGTGACCGCTTGGACGTCCTTCTTAGTTTGCGTTTCTACTATATCAAAACATGTCCGTCTGTTAGTGCGGCGTGCGACGCTCTGACGCGCTCGCGCGCGCGCGCTCGCTGTCGCGCGCGGCGGCTTCCTGATTGTCCACAATGGGGCAGTCGCCATGTTTGCCTGAGAACTAAAGTGGGCCCTCAGCGGTGACCGATTGCCTTTCCAACTTAATTGCGGTTCTCACATGTCCGTTGATTGATGCAACGTGCGACGCGCGCACAAGCGCGGTGGTTTTTGTTTCGTCTGCAGTAGGGCGGTTGCCATTTTGGCTTAGGGGCGAAAGTGAGCCCTTAGCGGTGGGCGAATGGATTTCCAATTTAATTTCTGGTTTTTCAATGTCCGTGCGCTGCTGCAGCGCACAACGCTCCGACGCGCGCGGTAGTTCCAGTCTTGTCGCGATAGGACAGTCGCCATGTTGGTCTGGGAACTAAAGTGAACCCTCAACGGTGACCGATTGCATTTCCAACTTAACTTGCGGTTTTCAGATGTCCGTCTATTGATGCAGCGTGCAACGCGCGCGCGTGGTGGTTTTTGTTCTGTCCGCAATAGGTCGGTTGCCATGTTGGCCGCGGGGCGAAAGTGAGCCCTTAGCGGTGGGCGATTGGATTTCCAATTTAACTTGCGGTATTTACATGTCCGTCCATTGGTGCATCGTACATCGCGCCGACGCGCGCGCGTCCGCTGTCTAGCCCTACGTAGCCCCATGGCCCCCTCCCACCCCTCGCCCCTGCCCCCCAGCCCTCGCCGCAGCCGTGGGCCTGTGCCCTACCCAGCGATAGCTCCCATGTGTACGTTTCGTTTTTCGTTTTCGTGCTTCGTTTCTCGCGCCTGGTGTGTGTCGCGTCTGTGCCATTTTTTTGTTGTTGCCCAAGCTCGAGCCAGACCCCGCCCTAG